GCCCATGTTTTCCATCTTGATTAGAATAATAGCGATGTTTGCTTGCACTTTTATCTTTATCAGAATAAACAAGTATGCCAATGATAAGTGTACTGGTCCAGTTTAAAATATCTCTAGTCTCATTCATCATGGTTTTTCATTGACAACAGTATTTAATGTCATTTGGACAATTATACACTATCATGCAAAACTGAAAGTATAATTCATTCCCATGTCCATTTCTTTTTCTCATTCCTAGAAACCGTATATGCATACACCACTCACACTTTGGTTTAATAAAGCTCCCGTCTTCTTCTACGTCATAGTTATGCGCTGTGGCATTAGCTTGTCTCATTTAGAAAGTTAATGACTTTTTTGTTCATGCACGTCTCTCTTTCAGTTTTGCATGTGCTCATTCGATGGCCGAAGATCTTTATTCTTTTGTAAGCCATATCCTTACATCAATAGATAGTATTCCAACCATGGGCGTCACTAACAACTTGGAGTCTCTTATGAATACCTATGATGAGTTTGCGGCAGAAGTCCACTGGGATCCTGTACCATTCAACCGATATTCGCTCCCATAGTTCATCATAACTCTTAGCTCGCTCCGGATATCTAGAGAGCCGCCTATCCAATTCTGCCCACATGTGTTCAATAGGGTTGAGGTCAGGGGATTGTGCTGGCCACTCTAGAAGTGTACCTTCCTCTTCTGTCAGATGTACTGACTCTAAATACTTCCTAACAATCCTCGCCGTGTGCTTCGAGTCATTGTCGTGCTGAAAGACGATATCACTTTTACTTAGCCCCCAGTCATTAAGGGACATCTGTAGATCCTCCTGCCGTAGTTTGATGTAAAGTTGTGCGTCCATATTATTGTCAATCTTTGCAATGTATCCAGGTCCGTACCATGAGAAGCATGACCACACTTTAACGTTACCACCTCCAAACTTGACAGTGCCTTACACCGACCTGCGAGTGAGGCGTCTCGGAGTGCGTCCCAGATCCACTGCACGCCATCAGAGCAGATTCCGCTTGTTTTCGATTCATCTGACCAAATAACCTTTTTCCAATCTTCCAGAGTCCATTCCTTATACTTGTTGAGAAAATGCAAACGGGCTTTAATATGTCTTCGCCGCAGAGCTGGCCTACGTACACGCCTCTTTGCTGTTAATCCCGACTCCTGAGCCGTCGTCTAACGGTGGTCTCAGAAACAGCCGCTGGTATGAGCTGGTTGGCCCTGACGGTGGCCTCAACTGCAGACTTGAGTGTACCTCGTTTCATGTTCACCTTAAGATACTGCGTGATATCTATAGGTTATTTCCTTGGTCGACCACCTTTATTAACTGGCATGTACTCTTTATTCTTTGCATAGATCTTGTTGGCCGTCCATTGTGATATACCGACACTAGCAGCAGCTTCTCTAGTAGACATGCCTGCCATCATTCACCTCCTGGCTTCGTTGACTTTCCTTTGTGGAGTGGGTCTCATATTCTGTGAAGGTGTAGTTAAGAGAGAGTTAAGCAAGTGTTCATAAAGGAAAGAGAGAAAGTCCTTCTTTTATTCGCATTTAATGACGACCAGATGTTGTCATGGGCAACATTTGAGAGCACATGCAAAACTGAAAGAGAGACGTGCATGAACGAAAAAGTCATTAACTTTCTAAATGAGACAAGCTAATGCCACAGCGCATAACTATGACGTAGAAGAAGACGGGAGCTTTATTAAACCAAAGTGTGAGTGGTGTATGCATATACGGTTTCTAGGAATGAGAAAAAGAAATGGACATGGGAATGAATTATACTTTCAGTTTTGCATGATAGTGTATAATTGTCCAAATGACATTAAATACTGTTGTCAATGAAAAACCATGATGAATGAGACTAGAGATATTTTAAACTGGACCAGTACACTTATCATTGGCATACTTGTTTATTCTGATAAAGATAAAAGTGCAAGCAAACATCGCTATTATTCTAATCAAGATGGAAAACATGGGCGTGGAACATGTGGACAATTTTGGAAGCCACTGTAGTCACTACGGTTTTAAAGGACTCTAGGCTAGAGCATAGATGACTAATAGAATAGAGATTTCTAATGTTGATAACCTCTATAGTCTAAAAAGTCGGGTCTTTTATGGTAAAAAATGATAAAAATATAAAATTGGCAATTTTTTATATTTTTTTTGGCTAAATTTAAGCAATTCTGGCTAGACGTAGAAATAGAGTCCTCGCCAAAAAGTCATAAACTGGATATATTTTACAATACTCAATTTGAATTAAAAATTTGAAAAATAAAAATTTACGTACGAAGACAAAAATGCATATATTTTTTGAATAGAAGGAATGAATTAGATGCATGGCCACCAAACCAATTCAATCTTCGTTTTTAATTAGAAATATTAGAATTTGCGAGAAATGGGCAACATCATTCTCAATCTCATTCTCGATCTCATCCTCATTGTCAACCTACTTTATTCGCAATCTTCAGATAGTAAAATGTCTTTCCCTTTTGATATCAATAACCTACTCTCATACAACGATCTTGGTGGTTGGTATAGCGAAGGAAATATCGACCAAATGATTTCAGGCACACCCTTCACTCCGCCTCGAAGATCGCCACAACTGCCCACTGAAGCCGATCTCTCCCCTATTAGGTCTCCTACCGAATATCAATGGATTACTCCTCCCAGAAACGAGCCAAGGAGTTCTACCTCATTAGAGCAATTCGGTGAGCGTCCCAATACCCTCGATTTAAATCCATTCTTGTCAGACAAACAAACTGGAGAGAGAAAAAAGGCATTTACACGCAGTAAAGCGTCCGTTACTAAAGACGAATACGCGATAATAGCTCATACATATAATGCTATAATGAATGCGCCACCAGCAGTCCAAGACTGGTTTAAGAAGACAGACAACAGAGCAATGGACCTTTCGATTCTGATGGGTGTAGGGAGAAACACCTGTGTGGCAGCAATTAAATATGCACAAACAGGCATCGTCGAAATGACAGGGCGAGGAAGAACTGGACGCCCTAAAAAAGAAGCGGACAAGGATTTAAACTCGAAGGTGCTGAATATCATAGTTGACTCAAACAAGAGCGGGACTCCTAATTCTGCGGGTTTAATTGCAAACCAACTGAAAGAAGACTTTGAAATCGACAGATCAGCAAGATCAATCACTCGCGACCTCCGTAAAATGGGACTGTATTGGGGCAAAGGGATCCGACAGAACTTTTTGCACGACTCCAAGGAGAATATTGCCTTCCGAGCTACTTACCTGAAGCGCCGTCTTAAGAATTTAAAACTAGTAGACGGCAGTTGGGTGCCTAGGACTCCAGAGGTCTTCTTGGACGAGTCTTACTGCCACATTGACCATGCTGCAGCAAGACGTTGGGTGCAAAGTGGCGGTGGTGTCATTAACGATGCAGGAAGGAAACCAATCATGGTTATATTTGCAGCCTTCATTGTATATTATGATGAAGCTGCTAAAAAGGTTGAAGGCAAATTCGTTAATGATAGCGTGTATGTTTGGCCATCAAAGGGACCAAAGCCTCAATCAAAAAAAGGCCAAGAGCAGGAGGCTGAACTGTGGGATGACGTACCTGAGGAGATCAGGAATGCAGGGGTCGTGGCAACAGATCACGATTATCATGGAAACTTCAACGCTAGTTTGTTCGATAGTATCTTTAAGCGACTTTGTGAGAATCTCAATAAGATGGGACTTGGCCCTTGTAAAATCCATCTTGATGGCGCTTCATATCACTTTCACAAGAAAAACAGGAAACCAACCAAGAGCGACACTGTGAAAACTATCAAAGAGTGGCTCACGGGCAAGGAGATTGTTATTCCAACAAGGGAAAATGGAAAAGCACTGAACAAAAACGAGCTTATGGAATTGGTTAACGCTCTTCCTGATGAGTCGTATTTCTCTATCAGTAAAATAGCCCAGGAGAATGGTGGACATGAAATCCTCAAGACTCCACCCTACCATTGCGAGCTACAACCTATTGAGAAGATCTGGGCAGTTGTGAAAAACATAATTGCCTCGAGAGCAATGGTGAAAATGACATCCATCTTGCTGAAAAAAAGGCTACTAAGCTTGTTTTCCCAGATTCCGTGTAAAGTCTTTTACTCTGTATGGAAGAAGTCTGTGAAAATTGGCATGAGATACTATAACGAGAGGAGTCATGCACAGGAAGAAATAGTCGAAGAGGTTTATCAAGAGGTTTTTGATGAAAACGAGCCTATTGTGGACCTTAGTGACACTTTCAAAGTCGACAATAGTGAGTGGGATGCAGAACTCATTAGAGTACTAAATCAAGAGCGAGCTGAAGCTGTTACCCTAGGCCCTGAGATAGTGGATCTTACGCTAGATGCTGGAAGCATGTTTAATGTGATAGAGGATAGCGAGTCTGAGGACGAGCCTCTTATCAATCGAAAACGCTCTCGAATTTTGAGTTTGTACGTATTTTTCCCGCGTCTAAAAGTGGAAGTATTCTATTCAATTTAAAAGCCTGAAAAATATATCCAGTTTATGACTTATTGGCGAGGACTCTACGAGAAAAGCGAATCTTGTTGTATTTTACAAAGCAAATTTATGACAAGGCTGGATTTCAAAAATAGAGATGCTTTTTAAGGTTTTTTTTCACTCCCCGATGTGAATTTTGATGTAAAAGCGGGGTTGCGAAAACTCGAATTCCCTTAGATGTGGTACCATTAAGGGTGATAATAAAGGCGATTCTAATACGTCATATTTTTTTTTTTTTTTTTTTTTTTTTTTTTTTCACGCGTTTGCAGAAATGCGATCTTGATATCAATTCTTCTTATACACCTCTGTCTCTCCAGGTAAAAATCGTTGATAATATTCAGCTCGCAAACTGTTGCCATTACGCGTCGAATGTTGAATGAACTCTGAATGTAAATCAACATGTGTATTATTTTAGATCATTTCATCGAACAAGCATTATGGTGCGGAGGCTATGTTACCTTATCAATAATAAATATTTGCACATATATTAATCACCTCTCGGTTCTCCTTGACCTTGCTTTCTGTGTAGAGTTCAGAAGTTATTGAGGATAGTCTGTTGGATGATGTAGATGAAATAGATCGCGCTGATGATCTAGAAGAATTCGATTCTGACTGTGAGCATGGGAGCGAGGAATCAGACTCTGACCGGGACTCGTGGAACGTTGACTACAATGACTATTCGAGTGGGGCTTCGGATTCCGACCCAGAAATAGAGCCTGAATCATCTGCAGCTCCTGTTGAAGCCATTAGCATCCATCCTTCTGCGGATTTTGGTACCGGGGAAAGCTCACTCATGCCGGGTGGCTCAGAGAGTCCAGAACTAGACGAGAGTGTCATTGCGAACGCCAATGAAATAGCAACTGAGATTTTGTGCTCGGAGGTGCATGATTACCAATGGATTAAGTCGACTCTCGATGATGAAACGATCAAAGACATTGTAAACGACTCCCGTACAGAACCGTATGACTACCTGCCCCGTATTTTTTACGTGAACGAGGAGGACTTCAGCGCTTGGCTTGAACAGGATAGTCTCGATCATTATTTTGTTTGGATGCGCCGTGTACATCGAGATAATAAGGCAGATGGCAGAAGCAAATACTTTTATTTTCAAACCCACGAATGCCACCGTAACCATGACTCGCGAGGCCAAAATCGCGTTCAAACCGCTCAACAAGACTCCCCTCAAGACTCCTCTCAAGATTCCCCTCAAGACCCTGGGCAGGAACAAGGAGGCGCGTCTTTAAGAAGAGCCAAAAAGTTGGATGTAGAGCAAAGCTTCTAGTCCACAATGCAAGCGAAATCACTATAATAATTTTGTGCAACATAGTATTTCGCCCATATTTCTAGAGCATTCCTTGCAACAGGATATTAGTATAAATAGGTCTACTTTTCTATCTAGTTCTGTAGCATATTTCCCCCTGAATAAAGATACCTTTATTGCACCCTTAGATCCCCCTAGAACACTACCTTGACTTTTGCATTGGTAGCAAAGGAAACCACGACCACACCCAGAGAACTACAATTACCATTGAATTTCACCCCTCGCCATGGAACACTTGAATAACGCCCTTTCGTCCATCGATCTTCCTCTGAACATTCGCGAAGCCATAGCTACTGCTTTTAATCAGGCCCTCTCTACTGCCAAAGCCAACGAAGCCGCTGAGAATGACCTAGCCAGAACCCTCGCCACGGTCCTAAAGCCACAGAAGCCTACGCCTTACGAAGGAGCTATTAACGCTGTTGCAGCCTTAAACTTTGTCGACAGCCTGGAGGAGTATTACACTATTGTCACACTCACGCCATCCAAATGGGTTCGATACGCTGTCCTCAGTCTCAATGGCGAAGCCAAGGCATGGTGGAGAGATTCCGGGTTGAATCTCGATACACCTTGGGCTGACTTCCGTAAAGCATTCCTCCGTCAGTTCACCCCTCCAGATTCTGCGAATGCAGCTCGCCGAGCGTTGGATAAACTTCGTCAGGGAAGGATGAGTGTGGCAGAATATACGAGCAAGTTTAGAAGCCACCTACGTCTGGCTACAAATCTCGACAAAGACTCTGCTTTGCAAAAATACATGCTAGGCCTTGAGCCCGAAACAAGCAAGCAGGTAAGACTTAGACAGCCAGAGACGTTGGACGATGCCATTGAGCAGGCGACCATTGTCCACAGTATTCTACATCCCATCGATGCCACCCCTGTATCCGCTACCCCGAACGCCTTATCACCCCATCATGAGAATAATTCTGGCCCTACACCAATGGATCTCGATAACATGAGAATGTTGGTTGCCAACCTGTACACCTCTCTCCATCAGCAACGACCAAACAGAAACCACTCCAAGCCAAGCTCGCTACCCAAGCTCACAGCAGCTGAACGAGAACGTTGCGTTCGTGAGGGGCGTTGTTTCAGATGCCGGAACCGAGGTCATAGAGCCGAACAATGCCAACGCACCTCTGTCTTTAATATAGAAAACAATGACCATACACTTTCTGAGTCGGGAAAAGAGGAGGGCGAGCAGTAAACCAGGCCTGCCTCGCCCCCTCTAGCCCCAGCCTTCAAGCCCTGGATAATAGAGGGCATGGTCAGTTACAGTTGATGACTACAAATAAAAATCCTTTGTGCACAAATATAACATCCATGCCCCTTTCTGATCACTCTATTGCTCCCACTGCATCTACTTCCTTACATCTACTCTCTAAGTATTCACCTCATCCTGATCCCCATTCCCCTACTCATTCCTCATTGCTAAAAAACAATCCCCTCTCCGACCCTATTTTCCGCTCCACTGATCCTTTCACTGTTTCCACTTCACTCACTTCCACTCATTCATCTACCCCTAGTTCATCCAATCGCCACTCCCATTGTCGTAACGAAATTCGCCTTCAATCCTTCAGCCTTACCTATGACAAACATATAAACTCTCGCCGACTCCTTACTTTCATTGGAGCAGTGAATGGTCGACCTGCGCGCATTCTTGTAGATGGAGGGGCCGAAGGCAATGTCATAAGTTCCTCTTTCTGCGAGAACACACATGTTCCGCTAATTGAGGGTAGACCCATTCCTGTCATTCTTCCCAACGGTACCGAGACAATTGCTCAGCACACAGCCACGTTCACCCTCGCCCGCAACGCGTATCAGGATAAAATCAACGCCATTGTTTATCCTCTATCCAAATACGACCTAATTTTGGGTAAACCATGGCTGACGGATATCAACCCTCGCATCAATTGGCGAACAAATGATCTGCATTTTGAATACCAAGGTACCCCGGTCTTGTGGGCTGGCACTGGCATCGACAGGAAGCCTAGACAGCGATCTTCCGTCATATCTGCTCTTAACTTCCTTACCGTTGCCTCGGAACCTGATGCCTCTGTATTCCTCGCCCAAGTTCGAGTTCCAGTACCTGTCTCTAGCAGTAGTTCTGAACTACCGGACTCTATCAAGCAAATCGTTCAAGTCGAATTCCCTGATGTCTTTCCTACAACACTTCCCGATGGCCTTCCCCCTGACAGAGGTGATAGCATGCGTATAGAGACTGACCCTTATGCTGACCCACCTGTCCGACCTGTCATCAGATTGTCGATCGCTGAGCTTGATGAACTGAAGAAGCAGCTAACTGATCTTTTACAAAAAGGATTAATCTCACCGAGCACCTCACCATACGGTGCTCCAGTCCTCTTTGTGAAGAAAAAGGATGGTGTCACGAACAGCAAGCAATGTCTAGCTCATGAATTGATGAATGACTTTTGTCTGATTCGAATCTGAAAAAGATCACGTGTGCTTGATTAATTTGTTCCGCTCATTTCCTTCACTCATTCCTCCATGCATAGTTTGCCTGTCAAGCCAAGTCGCGTCTCCTAGTTTTCTAGCTCCGTGAATAGCTCCAAGGATTCTAGAAGAGCTATAAACCAATAACCAAGGCTTATAGTGCCAAGGAACCTTGAAATAAGATTGCACCAGATATCTTCCTCGGATCCTGTGTATTAAGTTAACTCAACACTTGGAGTTCCGCATATGGTAAAAGTCCTTAGGAAATATTTGAGTAAGCTTTATTTAGAGTTCTTGAAGCGCGTCTCCGCTTCAGTCAAACAAGTATAAATATGATAGATTTGTAACATAGTAAACCTCAGTCTGCCATAAAACTATTCTTGAATCTCCTAAGTTCATTCTTGTTCCTAAATCACTTACCTTCTCTTGCAATCGTCCTGTCAGCCCTTGACATTAATACAAAGTAATATGGCAAATGTAATCAATATATACTTCTTCTTCTTCCTCCTCGATAATTCGACGACTTCGTTTACTCATTTTAAGAGATGTTTTGGGCTTAATTGAGATAATGCATGAAAAGGAAAAGAGAGAAAAAAAAAAAAAAAAAAAAGGAAAAGGAAAGGAAATGAGGCGAACTGAAGCGAATGCAAACACATTTGTTGTCCTGATGCCGCAGTTGAGTATTTAAGTATAACGCACCAGATATCTCGCACTCGTTGTTAGGCTTTATTTTCTATAAACATGTGTTTTAACCTTATCTTCATGGTAATATTTTTCTTAATCCACGATTTAAATCCACATTTTGATTAAGAGTGCCGTGAGAAAAAATTTATAAAGATTTTAATCGGTTTATCAATGTACCGAATGATTCGGTATATCAAATGGATTGAATCGGTACAATAGAGGCACCGAATGTTTCGGTTTACCGAATGCATCGGATATTCGATACATTCGATTCGGTTTCGACAATATATATTCATTCGGTTTCGATTCGATATGAACCTTACCTTGGTCAATTCGATTTCGGTTCGAAGGTGTATTGAATCGAATGTACCGATTAGGAGCACTGATTCATTGAATGACCTTTGATGGCCACTGTATATCCAAAAGTCTATGATACCTCTCATGAACAGGCCAGCAAACTCTCCTGATAGCAACCCAATAGAAAACATATGGGCATACATGAAGGTGCAGTTGGATCATTATCCAGACAAGGCAAAGAATATGGAGGATCTCTGGGAGAGAGTCCAAGACGTATGGACACATATCCCTCCTGAATTCTTACACAAACTATACTGCGGTATGCCGAAGAGGATGAGGGAGTTATATAAGGCTAAAGGAGGGAACATCGTTAGGGGAAAGGAGAAGTAACAGGTATAAATAAAAACAAGAAGTTGTTAATTGCCATAATAGATGCAATGAGATGCTGAAAGCAAATTGCAATTAAATGCTAATTAGGCCACTGATGGCGATGACGATGAGACTCCATGGAGGTGAGACAAATGAGAATGAGAAACGGTGGTGGCAGGGAGGATCATAAAGAAGAAGAAGGAGAATGAGGAATGAATGTTGAAAAATGCAATTTATTGCATCAGTTTTGGCACGCACTATAAATATCTAATTAACTTTGAAAGTGCATTTATTTTCATTACACATTTATCACAAAAGGCTGTAATAAAGCTGACCATTTCAAGCTACATTTAAATGTAATGTACTAAGTGCTCAAAGTCCCCAATATACAAAGTAACAGCTATTCAAACAGATCTGCAAAATTATAAAGCCTATGTCAACAAAATGGGACGCCCGTACAATGTTGGTAAAAAAAATAGAATTGCTGTTAGACAGTCAACAGCTCATTGTCAATTCTTTGACTATTGCCACTCTTGTCCTTCCAGTGAGCACTCATCTTCACTGTATCAAAACTCCTATCGTGCCAGAAATGCACCAAATTCACCCCTTGGTCCAGTTCCGCGTCGGTTTGCCAGTATGGGTGCTCAAGATAGTCGTCCTCCCGAGTAAAATGAACAACCCAAGCTTCTTCTGCTGAGAGTAAGCGTTTATAAGTTGGCGTCTTGCTGATACAGTCCTTAATAGAAGATTGACTTCCTGTAGCCAAAAGCTCGATAACAACCGTCGGCTCTCCTGCTTTCTTGATGACAATATCACTATATTTGTGGTCCTCAAGCTCATGGAGGTGCCACTGGCTAATGATCCCATATCCTTCTATTTTGTTTAGCCAGTTGGTGAGAATCCTCATCAATTCCGTGTCATAGACGCTCTCCCGGAGGACTTTGGCATTGTATCCACCCATAACCTTAACTGTTCTCCCCGATCTTTTGTATGATCGATATTCCGACTGTATAATCAAGTTTTTATCGAAAAATCGAAGAGCAATCTTCATAGTCTCCAGAATATCCAATAATCCTCCTTGACTTTCCTTTGGGGGTGACTCCGAAGGAGCGTGGGGATATTTTGATGGATAATATATCTCCTCACAAACGAGTCAATGAATGCTGAGGCCATACGGTAGTTACTGCCATCAAGTCTTATCAGCACCCCTTCTGCAGTTAGGAAGTCTGCCAATCTCTGTTTTTCCATGTCTGTGATAGATATATCGCCGAGATACCCAATAAAATCTGTTCGGAGAAGATTAACAGCATCTGTAGCTGATTCACTCAAAAGTGAATCGACCATCCTTCTGAAGGTATGATGTGAAAGCATCATCTCACTCTGATTGTCTGTGGAGAAGTCCAGCCATGTATCGTAATCGAGACAATTCGTCGAGTCGTTGACTTTGGAGCGAAGATTCTCATGAATGGAACGTCCACAAAGACAAATCATTCCTGGATGACTATTGACATTGAGCACAATTCATTGTATTAGAATGGCACATCATCTCGTGGAGAGTTAACTAAGCTTAAAAAACATACCCATTTGACTTCCAGTGTATGTCTCGAATAATCTCATCATCTATTTTAATCATCTCATCATTCGCATAGTCATTAAAGAGCTGCCGCGTTTGATCAAGAGTGAAATACGGGTTCCTGATAGTATGTTGACATTGAACGGGGCTATGTGTTGACCTGTTGTGCTAAGGTGCTGAAGACTAAAGGTTCCACATAAGACAATACTGTCAATGGCGTATAAATGGTTGTTCTGTCGGATTGCTCGAAACGCCTGTAAGCATTGGTTGCGGATCTCGTCGCTTGCGTTAAACAGTAAATCAAACTCGTCAACCAAGATGACAATCTTCTCGTCCTTGAATTTAGTTCGACCGAAAGCATCGAGAAAATCTCGTTTGGTTGTAATATCATCGACTTTATAGTTGCGGCGAAGAGCATTTCCAAAAGTTTTCCAGAAATCAGGCTCATTATTGCCAACGGCAACTCCCTCAAATGATAGTCTAAATAAAAAATAGAGGGTCAGTACTGGTATATTAGCGCATACATTGCATCCACTTTATCCATTTTCACAGAAGTTGGCTTACGGGAGGCAGCGATATCCAAAGTCAGCTAATTGGGTGATAAGTCGATACAACCGTGTTGTTTTTCCAGAGGCACGTGCGCCTATGAGCATCACTATCTCGCGGTCAAAAACGCCTGTAGTATTTCCTCATTGTTGTCATGGTCCGCAGGATCCACATAGTAGACCTGATTAACTTCGTCGAATCTGATCGGTTCATTGACGGTCCACCTCTTTTTTTTCAAAAGTCGCGGTACTGAAAAAAATTAGAAAAAAAAACAGCAAGACCTGTCAGAAGAGAAAATAAGGAATCGGTTCCAATCCTTAAGGGAGAATTAGCTTACATAAGTCTTCGGCCCTCCTCTTTTTTTCCGAGTCTGTTGGTAAAGGAAGCAATGATAGAAATTTGCAAGAAAAAAAGAAAATAAGCATCAGAGGAAGTCGTCAAGCACATGTGCGATGATTAACCTTATGAAAAAAAGAGAGAGCCAATTAAACAAATGAGTCTTACTCGAAGTGGAAGTAGACGGATCTATACCGCAATAATGCGAAGGATCATTAGACATAATCAATGATTACAACAAGCGTCACCACATGGCATGCCGCAGTAACAGGCACAATTAGAATTTAACAGCTTCTTACCTGCCGACGGCCTCTGGACAACGACGTGTATGGTTTTCTTTTCTGGTGTAGTGCCGAAAATCTCAGAGATCTTGCTTGTTGCACAAAGCTTTTTTGCATTTGGGTGTTCTGAAAGTGTAATGGTTTTTTCGTCCTCATCGTCTCCGATTACGATGGAGACATGCCAGAGATTCAATTTGTCGGCAACAATCTCTCGGAAGTCGTTTTCTTTTTCCTTCTTGATTGCTTTTTTGAGAGCAGCAATTGAGTCATCAGCATCCAATTGGACTTTAAATGCGGAAGAGTCGCCATCGAGAATGCAAAAGAGCATAATTTTTTGAGTCATCTTGGTTTAATTGCGCACTGAAAAAAAAAAAAAAAAAAAAAAAGTAATTGGCAGTAAACCAGCAGAGAGCTAGTTTGATTAAAGTGAACTGAGCAAGAATGTTGGCGTTAATGTGAAGATTGAAAGAGAAATGCTTAGAGGAAGAGGGATGAAAGAAAAAAAAGATGGATGCGTGAGAAAAAAAAAAAAAGAGTGGCAATAGGATGTGCTCACTAAAAATAAAATTACGTACACACGTATGGGGGCAAACTTAAGCCACTCCGTTTGTTTTTATTCCTCATCCATCATACGAATTCCCTTAAATACTCAAGTTGCGTAGTGGTATTTTTTTGTTAGAATTTATAATGAGGTGACGTAGTAGGCTATTTGCTAAATCCACCCTTTTCTGCCAGTTGCTTCTTCCGAATCACAATCGCCATCTAATCCTATTCCATCGCTCATTACTATTTTATTTATGTCAGGATCGCTCTCCTGCAGACTCCATTCAGGCCCTTTTCGTGTTTCTGTAGTCCATCTCCTGTCCCAGGTAACCTTTTTATTTTTTTTAAAAAAAAGAAAAAAAAAAAAAAACGCGTAAATTCAAATTAGCCTACTTCATTTCTAACTCTCTGTCTTCCTCCTCTCTGAGATAGATAATATTAGCCGTCCACAATGGTATTTATAAGTATCACGAACATGCTAGCTATTTCGATTAGCTTATAATTAATTATTTTTCTTGATGCAAATTATAGGTCCTCACCACTGATACCTTAATTTCGAGTAACGGTGAGGATGCAGCTGAAGACCTTGAGCTAGGCTCCGAATTCTACAATCATGATGAAGCTAGCGACGTTGATACGGATCCTGAAGAGCACGACTGTGATGATGGTGGAGACTATTCTTCGGATGTGTCAGATTCCGAGCCAGAAATAGTGTGGGGGCCAGTTGAACCATCCGGTGAAGACAGCACCTATGGGAATGCTCTCGCGCCATCTGAAAATAACGTAGAAGAAGTAGAGGATATATCGAGATTGAGTCAAGATAAGGAGGCTCGTGCAATCAGTCTGGCTTCTACAAATGTGTCTGCGCAGCTACAAGAATGCAATGTTTTAGCCTAATTGATATAGCTTACTATGTATATGGAACCAAAGTTCAATAGGACAAAGAGAGGGGTCTTTATTTCTGGACAGACGACATCTTATATACTATAAGATATCGTCTGCCCCACGTGAGTGGTAAATTAAATCATCGTATACGCTATATGGGTCTATATGGTGCAAAGATTATAGAGTAATACTGACCTGATCTTAACAATGCCTTTTCTGAGTTTCTGTAATGTACTCAGCGTTACAAGTGTTAACCCAACCGCATCCTCACACTCATTGTTGTTCACGTAGAGACTGTCATTTTCAGGAGCCAAGTCATTCAAACCACTTGGGCCCAAAATCGCCTGAACTGCCAGATTAATGATGTGTCCAAGGCATGGCACATGGTATAAGCCATCCTTGAGCGGCCTAATGTTTTTTATTTTTATTTATTTTTATTTTTTTTAAGAGAAGCGTTAGAGATAACTCATTACTACAGTGGTCATCAAAAGTCATTCTGAATTAGGAATTTCGACATTCTCATTCCTTTCTCCAATTTGATCTTGCTTGTCGCTAATGAAACTTACGTAGCGAGTTTGGCCATCGACAACGTCTCTCCTACTACAATGTCAATGAGCTCCTGTTGCTAATTGAAAATTTAGATGAATGCCAATTATTGGCATCTCATTGAATGCCATTTGAAGAAAATCGGGAGCTTTGCTTTATTTGTTTTTTTTTTCTGTTCTTCAGTAATGTGTACGACCTCCTTTCTTGCGATGTAGCTCCTCTACCCTTCGTGGCATACTTTCATATAGCTCATCAAGGAAGTCAGGTGGAATAGATGTCCAGATATCCTGTAGTCTTTCCCATAGTTCATCCAGATCCTTTGGTACCTTCTCATATCCCTTGAGCCGATGATCCATGTAGGCCCATACATTCTCGATAGGGTTGAGGTCAGGAGAATCTGGAGGCCACTCCAAAGTGGTAATGTGTGACTTAATTAAGAACTCTTTAACCATCCTACTCGTATGAACACTTGCATTGTCCTGCTGAAAAATTAACTTTTCAGGGTCCTGGCCATACCACTTCCATGAGCCGAGGACATAATCTTGTAGAACATCAACATATAAAGAGGAATCAACTGTGACAGGGATCCTGCAACCATCGCCTACACCATGATAAGTGATACAGCCCCACCACATAAGTTTGTTATGTGCTCTCCTTGATCTCTCTCTAACATCTTGATCTTCTAAAGTCCTGTGGCCGGGTCGCCTATATTGTGTTCTTCCTCCTAAGGACCCTAGCCTTCCAAAAAGCTTTTCGTCCGAGAACATCACTCGCTTCCAGTCATCAACAGTCCAGTCAAGGTGGTTGAGGGCAAAATTCTTCCTTTTCGCAATCTGCATTTTTGTCAGCCTAGGCTTGAATGGGCGGCCATAGTTTTTCAAACCCTCTGATTTTACATAGCGTCGGGCAGTCTCTACACTGACATGCACTCCATGGCTCGATCTGATGTATTCTTGAACTGCCAGAATGGATCTAAGTTTCCCCGTATCAAACTCGCGTGCAATAACCCTCTTGGTAGCAGGGGAAACCAATGAGGGTCTGCCCATTCTGGGTTTAGGAATATTGTCCTTGACGTCCCTCCTGATCCTTATTGCCGATGAAATAGAGATACCAAGTTGCCTTGCCACTTCGCTTGTAGACTTCCCTTGTCGAAGTAAGGCCTGAGCATTTTGTACCTTTTCCCTAGAAAGCGTCCTCATAATAAATACTAAACGATGTGGAATGTTAATTGTAAGTAGAGGTGTATGAAGATATAGCTGAAGGTAATCTTGGTAGAAAAAAGAGAAGTGAAAAAGTTTTTTTTGCAATCAACATTGAAATTCAGCAGAAGTCATTCAATAGGCAGGTCAAATTGAAATTGGTTTTATTTCACAATGAAGTCATAATTAGGAATGAGACATGAAAGTAATCATGAGGTGTGGGGAACAAATGCACTACCCCAAATATACTAGCCACATGCTAGATGAGAATGAAGAAAAGGAATGAGAATGTTAAAAATTCAAAATCATTGAATGACTTTTGATGATGCAAACGTGTTATACAATACTGAACTCAAACCTTTGAGGAGGGCTCAACTATCACGCGCACCCCAGGCGCCAAGACGCCAAGCCCAAGTGCCAAGACACCAAGCCCCAACCCTATCAATTATCAGTATAAATAGTCCACTACGTTATAGCCAAATAAAGTATCCTTTGACCTTCGATTCCACCTAAGATCACCTTTGATTGTTACTATTTACATGGTAGCAAAGGTTCATCGAACCACCGACCCCGCCAGAAACCGCTTATATTTCCCTCTGATAATTTTCCCTAGATCCCTCTGATATTTTCCTAGATAAAATTTAAAAATTTACCCCTGCATTTGATTTTTTTTTTTTTTTTTTTTTGCCATGGACAACCTCACCACTTCCTTGAAAGCTCTTAACCTTGATGCCAGTACCAGCCTATCCGTGCAGAACGCTGTGCAAACCTTCCTCGAATCCCGACAGGATAGTGCTTCTAGCGCTGCCGCCTTTAATGACCATGTCCGCACGGTGGCTGCTGTGATAAAACCTACCAAACCAGAACCATACGAGGGAAATGTCGACGCTGTCGCGGTCCTCAACTTCTTGGAGAACCAAGAAGAGTACTTCGAGATCATGGAGCTTAACCACTCCCGTTGGGTCCGATATACCGTTGTCAACCTGAAAGGAGACGCCAAGGCATGGTGGCGAGACTCGGAAATGACAATTGATACACCATGGGACACTTTCCGAAGTAAATTCATCGAAAACTTCACACCCCCTGACACGGCTTCTTCAGCCCAGAAAGCACTGGTTCAATTAAAACAAGGTAAATCCTCAGTAGCGGAATACACTGCCAAATTCCGCCGCCTCCAACGCCTCACACCCAAACTGGAGGAATCATGGCTTGTCCTCCATTATACCTACGGCCTTGTAGAAGACACAAGCAAGGAAGTCCTCCTTCGCCAGCCTCAGACTCTCAACCAGGCCATCAAGCAGGCTACGATGATCCACAGCATTTTACATTCCTCTAGACCCCCCATCATGACAAACCAAACAAGCCAACCCACACCGACCCCGATGGACCTAGACGCAATGCAGATGATGTTCAATAACTTCCTACTACAGAGTACAAACTCCACAGGCTTAGCGAACTTCCATCGCCCCCCCTCGACTAACAACAGACCACTCTCCAAGCTCACCGAAAATGACAGAACAAAACTGCGCCGCGCAGGCGCTTGCTTTCGCTGCAGAAAGAAGGGACACATGGCCAAGAACTGCCGCGTGACTAGGAACTTGAACAACCTGGAACAACAAGACGACTACGACGACTCGGGAAAAGAGGAGAGCGAGCTGTAGACCAGGCCAGCCTCGCTCTCACCACCAACCCTCGAGTCCTGGGCTCTAGAGGGCGTAGTCATATGGATTTAAGTAGTAACAACAGTAATAAAAACTCTAGTTCTCCTAAATCCATGATTATGCCTTCTCGCTCCTCTCCCATATTTTCTCTATCCTCTCTCTTATCACTACCCTCTAAAAGCACCTTGCACCACACCACTTCCATTCCTCCGGATTCCCTAAATCACCTCTCCCCCGATTCCCATCCCGCGTCATCTGTCACTGAAATCAAATCATCTTCAAACCAAGACACAAATGAAAATTCACCTACCCCCTCTACTTCCCACGAACACCTTGCTAGTAAACCACCCCGTCGTCGTCGTCGTCATGCCACACACCTCCAATCCCTGTCCGCTGTCTACACCAATGTGAGACGACTACTAACCTTCATTGGGGCCGTCAACGGACACCCTGCGCGAATCCTCATTGATGGTGGAGCAGAAGGAAATGTATTGAGTTCAAAATTTTGC